CGAGACTTAAAACCAACACTTAATGACAATGCTAGCAGTGAAAAGCTGTCACTTTATTAGCTATCACCTTTTGTTTTCGTTATTGTTTAGTTAGTTACCGGTACCTCGTTTTGTATTTTTAGGTTTTAAATCTTTCGTTTTTTTTGTAACCGCCACTTCTGAAGATGCGAGCTGTAGCATGCGAAACGTCAAGAAAATTTTATATTGTTGTTCCAAACCACGCGTAGTTCATGTGTTATGTTTGTTGCCGCTGTTTGCATTTTATTTCTTGTTAAATTGAAATGGCCAAAGAACAAGAGCGTTTATGAAATAGGGTATGGTTTTTGCACTCTAGTCTTGAACTAGGTATGTTTTTTAGAAGAAGCTACTTTTTCAGGTCATATATAGGGTAGGGAAAATCGCAGATTTTGGTCATATATATTTGGTCGGCCCTGTATAGTGGAAGACGTAACTGCGACTTCGGGCTTGAAAATGCCTCAGTCACAGTTATCCACTATACGGACCTCCCACGGCTATATTTTGGCGCCAAGAGGAGGCTATTGTATATATAGGTGCCACCGCGGCCGTACTGACCTGGTTCAACTATTTACTGGAAGTAATATATCAAACTTAACGCCGAAGACAACATTTCATCGCGTTTCCGACAACTTGAAGAGAGTTGGAAATACGAAGCGCAGCAGGAAGGTTGTTCATATGAAATCACCAAGTTTTTAATGTGAGAGGATTAACTTCATTACAAAGTAAAACTTTGGAATGAACGGAGAAAATATAGATGTAAAAATCGCTCTGAAAATCACATACCTGAACCACCGTCGTGGCCGATGATTTTCGTAGAGGATTTCTTAAAAATGAGTTTTAAAGCTCATTTCAGTTCAGAAGTAATATACCTATTTAGCATAAATCTACTAGCGTTCTATCACGAATACCGTTCTCTGATTGGCTACGATACTCACTATCTATTCTGTGATAGATAGTAAGTAGCGTAGGAGCGTGCCCTTGTGAACAAAGTGACAGCCGCTTCTTTGCGTTTTCGAAGGCGGTGTGTGTGAAGAGGGTTTCGATAAAGTTTTGAATGACTAGTGGATTTATACTAAAACAATTAGATAATTCGCGCTCGATTTCTATCGAGCGACAGTTGACTCGGGCTGCGCCTCCGTCAACTATCCCGCGTTATAGTTCAACACTAAATTTTCTCCGATTCTTATTGGTTTAAATTGATAGTGTTCATCCGTGGACTGAGACACTATCAGCCCATAATGCCCGTCCGAGGAAAATACGCGGATGGATAGTACTCGTCCGTGAAAAAATTTTCTGTACACAACGGGGCTTATAAAAAATAAACATATAAAATTGTATTAAGTTGGTTTTGTTTATTTTCCTTTATAAATGTTAAATTTGGCTTTCACGGCTTCCATCTAAAAAAGTTGAAAGTAATTCGATAAGATTTTTGAACTGGCGCGCGGAAGAAAATTTAGTGGTGAACAATAAAGACAATAGAGTGTTTATGTCTCGGAACTATATCGGTCTGATAGTTGCCCCTCGGAAATTTAATTTGATGTGCTTAATTGGGTAAATATTTGCTTAAGAACATCAAATTTTCGCGGGGCAACTATCAGCCCATAGTTCCTCGACAGAAACACTCTATTGTTTAAATAGAAATCTCGAGCTCATAATCTAGTTGTTTAATATATCGTACACACCTTATCCAAAAATGGCGGCCAATTTATTATTCTTTTGTTTGCGTATTAATTAGCCCTCTTTGCCTCATTTTCACTTCAAAATTCTTTTGTATTTTGTACATGTTGACGAGGCAAAGGGGGCTAATTACCATGTAAACAAAAGAATAATAAACTGGCTGCCATTTTGGAATAAGGTGTATATATTTTATGAAAGAAACCAATTACGTACATCAATAATTGAAAACATTGATTCGATACACGTTCACGCACGCACGCAGCCTTATGGCGCTTTTGGGTGTTGTGAATGACGAGTTTTTCTTGTGAAATCTTGTACATGATCAGTTCAATTTTTTAATTCTCTAGGTTCATTCTGTTTTTGTTTAGAGCTTCATTACAACAACACACTGTGCTATATACAAAGAGCGCAAGTAGATGAGGTGCACATCATGGAACGCGACAGCTTGTACACATTATATTTTGTCAAGGATACACACTCTCTTTTATAAGAATATTGCTTTTCCGGGCCAGGCTTAATATTCTTATCTTTCTGCCAATTTTGGGCTAAAATTATTCTTGTGAATATTCTTACATTATAGCGTATGACATTTTGTCTTAGGATGTACATGTATGGAGACTATTGATGACGTGGAAGTAATTTTTGGATCGAGCCAGAATGCAGGCAATACAGCATGATGGGCTATTCGGGCATCCAACTAGATACGGCTAGTGCTGTTTTTGTTGTTGTTGTTGTTTTTGCTTTCGCTAGTTTTGTCGTTTAGACA